GGGCTGTAAGGAAAACAGGAGGCCCCTGTCAGTGTGTTCATAAAAGCCCCAAAATGACCCTCAACCCCTAAAACTGTTCTTTCAGAGCAGTTTTACGGTCAACAAACAACAGTGAGAAGAAACCGTACAAGTACAAAAGAAAAAAGATACAAATTAACTAAACGATTTAGCCTACTACACTTAATAACCTATTATACAGAAGTTGAAAACACTGCATAGTCTTCACCATATTAATTAAATATACACTGATTCTTATTAAAATCACAAAAGTTGAGTGAAGAGCAGTGAATGGTTCTCTCGGTTTTTTTGGTTGTTTAATTAACATTGAAGGGCACATCAGATGCCCATTTTCCACAAGTTGGTATGAATCTTTAGGGTCTTCATGAAATTTCTGTAACACACTTTGGTAAAAATTCCTCAATGGTCGTGTAAAACAACACCCTTTTTACCTTGTCAAAAACAGCTCTGTTCACAGTGAGCCGTTTCAGTGCATGTCTCTTTAAATACTAATGAGCTACTGCTCACTATTGAACACTGGTGTATTCGGTGGCATCAAAAACCAAACAAATCCACTGCGTCCTCAGTGGCTCTGATGTCGGGAGAAAAGGAAGACTGTGTCACACCACAAGCTTGAGCTTTGCGTCAGTGTAACTTCATCATCACTGCAGCTGCAGACTCGCGAGAGCGTTTGTACAGCATCACAGCAGCGGCTCCAAAGCTACATATTTCTTTACAAAGACAACTATAAATTTGTTTTTAGAAGTTGGTCAGTTATAAACGTGAAAGTTTTAAAGTCTTGAAAGATTCGCATGTAAGTGGTAAACAACAAAAACAGCTTTGATCATGTTGTTTCATTCATTCTTCGATATAGAATGTGCTGTTTATAATGTTTTTGTTGTTGTTGTTGTTTTTATTTAATACACCATACTTTAACCCAAACTGAATAATTAAAAACAAGTTTAAATGAGAAAAACTTCTATACATATTTTTGATTCTTCATTTTCTTTTCTGACATACTCCAGTTCTGGTTAAAACACACTAGACATGCTTATTTTGTAAATTTTTAGCACTTTTTGTGTGAAATCATTTATTTTGCCCATCAAAAGTGTGCTGTCACATTAATTGAGCGTGAGCAGTGCAGCAAAAATAGACTAAATGCAGAGACCATCTCTTCAGTGCAGCTCACGCGACGCTCCTGCTCCCGGTGTGAATGCACTCATTTGTTATCATGGACGCTGAAAAAAAATATGCGCTGCTCACGCTTGCGGTGTGAAAACGGCCTTATGTTCACTTTTACATCCAACTACAAAACACCTGCATTGCTAACGAGACATTGTTGTCGCTACAGCTGCTTGAGCGCGGAGAAAATGGTGGACAGTGTACAACTGGCTAAGGGCGGAGATATGCTAGTACGGGACAGTCCGTCAGCAGTCGTGGGCGGGGCCTTAGCAATATGATGTCATACTGCTTTGAAAATCAAAATAGCTTGATAATTGAGACTGTTTGGGTTTTTTGGGAATTGAAAAAAAGAGTGAATGGATTTTTATCATTGTTGGGTGGTTGTGTCCACACTGCTGAGACAAAATGTATATGCAAATACCATGTAAAAGTGAATTTCGCATCCGATGTCCCCTTTAAGTGATGGAGACAGCAGCAGGTTTATTGGCTGCTGTGACTTTAAAGGAGTCCTATTATGCTCTTTTACAAAGTCTTGATTTTGTTTTGGGGGTGTACTAGAACAGGCTCTCATACTAGGTTGTTCGAAAAACACATTATTTTTCACATTTTACATTATTACAACACCTTTCTCCCCTAGTGTTGGGTCGTTCTTGAACGATTCGTTCATTTTGAACGAATCTTTAATGTGACTCGGGAAGAACGAGTCGTCTCGGGGAGTGATTCGTTCAGTCGCGCATGCGCAACATCCTATAGGTTCTGTACACAGTCTAAGGTTCTGTACTGGAATTAGTCAAGTAGTTCACCTGTTTCGAGTCTTCGGGTTCATCACGTGACAGCCCCATAAGTTTAACCAATGCCGTCTGAGCCGGAAAGAGAATTGATTAGTTCATCTCTCGAGTCTTCGGGTTTTTCGAGTCGTTCGTTCATCACGTGACAGCCCCATAAGCTTAACCTATGCAGTCTGAGCCGGAAAGAGACTTAATAATAATAACCAACTCTTTATTACCTCTCGTCCCATTCGTCGATCTTTGTGATATCACAAATCCCGGAAAATGTGCGTTGTAGTCCAAACGAGTCGTTCGTTGTAGTTTTTGAAAAGTGATTTCTGTTAAATAAAATATCTCCTTTTGAAGTGGACTTTGAGCTTTGTAACTTTGCAGATCTTTTTTATGCTCAAACAGCAACATTACAGACTAACTAAAGTTGAAAAAGTGAAAAAGCATAATAGGACCCCTTTAAGAACAAATGCACTGATCTTATATACTGATAAACATTTGATTACTATCCCAACCGTTTATATTCACTTAACTCTTTCCCCGCCAGTGTATTTTTTTTTTTTGAAGTTGCGAGCCACTCCAGCGTTTTTGATCATTTTCATAAATGTTTAATGGCTCCCAGAATATTTTGTTGTATGAATGATGCCTAGAATTAACATTTTGATTACAACAGTCAGCACACACGGCTCACACATTGAAGGCAGTGGATGTTGCAGGTGAAGTTTCTTCTGTGTCTTTGTGAAGCTCCAGAGAAACACGCTAAACTTCCAGCTCAATATCCAGACCTCATCACATTCTTCTCAACAGATGCACAACCATGGCTTCTCGAGGCTTTTATATAAGTACTCAGATTACAGAACAAACCAGAATCTTTCGGCAGGAAATGCCTGATCACCAGCGCATGGATGAGTTCTATTATAATTAGCTGTTTTGCACCTGTTTTTCTCCTTTGAAGAGCTGACTTTGCAGCACGATCTGTCAGTTTAATGTCTCGTAGAATCTGACGATTAGTCAGTGCTCCACAGATGCGACCTGCTGTTTATTTTGAAACAGAACAGAATTTTTTTTGACTGAAGTCATAATGACCATTGGCACTGAGGTATGAACATCAAACAAAATTCATAATCAGCAGCAAATGGTGTTTTCAGTCTGCACTAATTAATAAACGCAGTGGCCACATGTTCAAATACATGATCTGCGGTGCTCATGTGGATAATAGGTATGTGTACATGCACAAAACGTGTACGTTCCCTTGGAACTGGAATCATGGCGGAATATCATGTGAAGTCCACTTCGCAGGGCATTTACGGTCGAATAAGACAACGCTTGAATGCTGCTGCCTAAACAAGAGACCTCCTTACTGAAGTGAAAGTGTTGACTGGTGTTGAAAATTGAAAAGTGTTGAAAGGCTGGTGACAATATCTCGCGAACGTGGCAGTGGATCTCCACCAAATTCGGGGGATCCCTTCAGCTCGAGGAGCCCTCTCGAACACCGCCCTCCATGTGTCGGCAGCCCCCCGGGATTGCCAGATCAGTCGACGCCCGACCGCAAATTTAACCGCCCATAACTCCCGGACCCCGGGGGCTATCAACGCGGGGGTGGTCTCATTCGAAAGGGGGCCTCAAGATGTACACTCGATTCGGCGTTCGAGAGGGTTCCTCGAGCTGACGGGATCCCCCGAATTTGGTGCGGATCCGCCGCGCCGTTACGGAGATATGGCCGTTCAAAGTTTCAATGGTATTCCATACACTTAAGCTTTAAAGTGTTTCATCCAGGTCGCCAGTAGCAAACAATGGAGTGCGCTCTGCTGGACAAACTACGTAATTACACCATTTACAAGCATTTTATCTGCGTTTTATGTTCTGTAAAAAAAAATTTCATATCGGTGGCATATTGGCGGCATATTCGCCGATACCGATATATCTGCGACAGGCTCATATCGGCCGATAAAATCAGCAAAAAGATATATCGGTCGGACTCTACTAATTTTCATCAGTCCCAATAAATCCAATCTGATTTAAGATTCTGAAAGTTCCTAAACCGTTTCATTCCCATATTCATTTTCATGTGCATTTTTGTATTCTGAATAAAACTATTACTATTTTAAGCAAATAAAAATTCCGTAAATATTAATTCTCATTCACTGACCAGTTTATAAGATGTAATATTCATATGCATGTTGTTAATAAGGTATTTTTTGAAACTGATTGAGTGGATAGTCTTATACAAGCATTTGCATGCTTAGTTTTTTCTCCTTGATCAAATTATTTCAGGTCTACACCATCCCTGTCAATCCAGTCTAAATTTAATTCAGATCGAGCTCAGTCAGAACGATTGAGGTCTTTACATTAAGGAATATCAATTCGATTGAGCTATCAATCCGATTGCCAGTGGATTATTTAGGTGTATGTAATGTAGATAATCCGGCTTGCAAGATTTCCAGATTTCACCGACAGGAAGGTTTTGGTTTTCTTTGTTTGAATGTGACATTTTGACACTCTAAAGACCTCACCTTTCATTGATTGGAATTGGGAATGTCCTGAGCTGGAATTAAACTCTGGTTGCATAAACCATATGAAACCAATGTTTTGCAAATGTGGTACCTACATACAATGTGCTGCAATTCAGCACAATTCAGGCTGTGTAGTATGAAATGTGAAAGCAGAGTTAAGATTTAGGACTGTAAATGTGCATTTTTGCCTGATTTGAAAATGAAACTCTGTCTTTGCCTGTAAGTTTTGCTGCCTTCCTGAAGCTCAAACACTAGAGCAATGGTGCTAGCAACACCAAGGTCATGGGTTCAATTCCCAGGGAAAGCAAGAACTGATGAAATTTGTACTTAAATAAAGTGCAAGTTGCTTTGGATAAAAGCGTATGCCAAAAATATACGTGTAAATGTACGCTTTTGATTTCAGGGGCTGGAATTCAGAGGCAAAATTACAATATTGCCCAACAAACACAACATATTGAGGCTTGTGCATGTTTCCACATCTCTTTTTGAGTAAAAATAGACTTATAAATAGCTTGTGTTCTCTCTCTTCCAGTCGGTGGTGAAGACGGGTCGGCTGCTCGTCAGTCATGAGGCTCCGGTGACTGGAGGATTCGCAGCTGAGATCAGCTCTACGGTTCAGGTAAGAATCAGATGCCAAGTATAATCAATTTCACACACACAAACAAGCACAACGAAATCACTTCACACTATTAAGCGGCTGTGTTATGAACATGCAAAACTGTATCGCACGCGTGCTACAGTGGTAAATTTATTCATCGCACAGACCAGTTTTTTCATAGCACGTGCGCATATATGTCGCACTGTACAGCCCTGGGTGGGTATAATGATTTATAGATTGACCAGTACTGATTATCTTTTTATGTTCAAGTGTTCAAAAATTGTGGTGCAGAAGCTTTTTATTTCTGTTCATTTTCTGCTTTTTGACACTGTATCTAAATAATGGTTGGACTTTAAAACATCTGTATGCTCTCATGCTACATCATCAACCATCAAAACTCAATTCCAGTACTCATGAACGCTAGTACAGACTTATTAAAGTACCTGGATGTGTTCTTGATATTGACGATGCATCAAATGTGGACTTGAGAGAATCAAACCATTAGGAATCCATCAAAAGTCATCGTGGGTGGTCCACGTATGGAAGCCTGTAAGCTTTAAACTTCTCGTTCTCACTTAAGAAATTCCCGCTGCAACCTCACAAAAACGTGACAACTCGTGAAAGTAAATATTTGTCACTTTATTCAACATTATTTTAATAAAGTGTTAAAGACCTGGAGAAAGCCTGCAATATTTAATATTGGCATAATAAAGAATCTAAACATTGACAAAGCATAGTAATACTAAATACATGCAGTAAAATAAAGATATAAAATAAATATCAAAATAATGCCTATAATAATATGAAATAATGTTTTATTAGGTTAGGACATTGTTTGTGATGTTATTCTGTATTCATCATGCATTTGCTACTACTAATAATTAGGGCTGTCATAAAAAATGCGAATTTCGAATATTCGTCGCAAAGGGTCTGAATACTTAGGACCATGTTATATTTCAGTTTTTCTTTTTTAATAAATTTGCAAAAATGTCAACAATTCTGTGTTTTTCTGTCAATATGGGGTGCTGTGTGTACATTAATGAGGAAAAAAAATTAACTTAAATGATTTTAGCAAATGGCTGCAATATAACAAAGAGTGAAAAATTTAAGGGGGTCTGAATACTTTCCGTACCCACTGTAATTCGAATTTTGATAATATTTAAGTGGAAAATTCGAATTTAGTTTTTCAGTCATTTTGAGAGCCCTACTAATAATGTGCTCGGACGGTCAGTTCAGTAACAAGATCACAGCGCATCTCAATTCTCACAAAGATGTGTCCTCGCTTCCTTCCGAGTTTGTTCTGGCAAGACCGGTCTTCACAAAGATGCAAGTCCATTCATTGCATTCGTGGAATTCAGAAACAGTCTTAAGAACTAGTCTGATCAACTAGCAGTTAGGCATGGGTAATCAGTCTTATTTTTTGGATTCAAATTAGACCAGTTTATGTAACTGACTTAAAAAAAAAAAAAATAGATGAGAACTTGATCAAAAGTGAGACTGAGTCAAATAATTTAATATCTGTAGTCATTTGCATAAAATGCTTAGACTAGACTGACATCATCGATCTTTAAAATACTAAACTAGTCCATAAGAACCCTGATCCAGACTTCTGTTTTCAAGCCAACTAGTGTAATTTAGCTTTGAGAAATCAGCTGAAATCGACCAAACTCAGACATTAAACTGATGCTCTAAGTGTGAAAACAAGCCTGTTTTGTAGTGGAATGAACAGAGGAAACAGTTTAAAGATTCTTATAATTTATTTAAAATAGGAATCTTTTGTAACATTATAAGTGTCTTTACTGTCATTTTTGATCGAGTTAATGCATCCATGCTGAGTTCAAGTACATACTGACCTCGAGCTTTTGAACAGTGGTGCTCACATTCATGAGCGTCTCGGGCCTCGGCGAGCTCGTGCTGATGGTGGAAATTTTATCAAGAGATTGGTCCATGCATAGATGCAGGGCTGGTCTTTAAACACAAACATCAGTCATGTTTCCATTGACGTCAAAGTTTGTTGAAGCACCTGTGAGCGGGGTGGACACGCTGGGCGCTGATGAGTCAGCTGGACGTGCACAGATAATGGCACTGAACAGAAAAGATGCTAAAAAAGGCTGTTAGCCACACTGTGGTTAACCTGAGCTGTGGTCAAGCTACTGACGTCTGCGATAACGGCAGCTAATGTATCTGCCCTCCACCAAAACACCCAGGGCCCAACAAAACACACACGACATTCTGCAGTCTAGTGTCACAATACCAACATTTCAGTAGTCTGTACCAAAACCAGTGAGATTTCACAGTTCTCAGTGCCAATTTCAGTACCGTAGCGGGTACAGAAACATACCATATAATGCAATAAACATCAAGCACTGAAAGCACACAACATATCAGTTCTAGCTTTACTAACTTGACATCGCAGCCTATTTATCATCAAACCAGTAAACCAAAAATAAAAAATAACATGGCTCGATTTAAATTCCATTAAATAATTGTCTGAAAGGTTTCATTTTACATGGATATTGGGACATGAGTGAAGTACAAGCTTGCACAATAAATAATAGTTTAGCAACCAAACATTACATTGTGAATATGGAAACATTTGGATCCACACGAGAGGTACATGAGCCCGTGTTTTGCGGGCTGCTTTTCCAATAATGATTACAATATTGAGTTATTCCACTGCACTACACTTGTTTTCTTTCCAAATCCTCACATCTCATCACATATTTTTATTTATTTATTTGTTTTCAGGGGATCTATTTGTGTATATTTTTACTTACATGTTTATATTAGTTTTACTTTCCTCCTTTCTTTAACTTTTAATCCTTAATCTTATTCACATCCTTGTAAAGTATGGAAAACGCTGTAGATCATGTGTAGTTTTACTTTTCAAAATAACAGAAATCATTAATTATGTATGTTTTTTTTATTTAAATGGCAGTAAATGCAGTGGTCTGTTGTTGGTCAATTAGACATGGTCTGTGTGTTCGTACATAAATGTTTTATCTTGTGGGTTTCCGTTTTTATCTCTCCTCACATTTAACTTTTACACAGTTTAAGGTAAGACACGTCAAGTTTGTGTAATGAATTTCATACACGCCGGTAGTTTCAGCTTCACTTTAAATATTTTTATACTTGTGACTCTCAAAAATGCAGTTTTCACATAGCAACACCTTAGCAAACGCATAGGTAAGGTGTTAAAAACCACCCAAAACTCCCTAGGAAGGGTAACCGCATAGAAACGTCCTACCAGATGCCCTCAACAGCTTCTTTTCAGAGGCAAACACCACTCACGATTTCTGCAGAAATGATAAAAGTCTAGTTATTCATTCACAGTAGAGACACAATCATGCAGCCGAGATGCTGGAATCATTGAGCAGAGGATCTTACAGAAGCTGAGACTGTGACAGCGTACTGTTATTCCTGGAGCAGATCTCTGTGTTCCTGGACAACTCCATGGAATAGTTGGGATAATATTCAATATCATCTGTCTCGCTCTGTGTCTGTGTGTGTGTATGAATAAAGCAGCAAGATTCCTCTGGAAAGTAAACGTGTGTGTGTGTGTGAGGTGTGAAGGGGTTTGTGGGTAATGTTCTCCTCTAGTGTCGTGTCTCTTTATTATGCAGGCATGTTTTAGACAGTATCTGATCATGTGTGTTTGCAGATGAGTTGAATTGGCTCCTTTTCAGTTCATTAATTTGAAAACTCAATGAAAAAATTTTTAAAACTCAATCTGTCTATTTCTAAATGTATTTTATAACTCATCTTGTAAATGATTAATCCATGCATGTTTAATTCTTTGACCTCATAATGTTTAATCAAAATGTCATAACTGGATTTTCCAGTAAACATCAGACTTCTCTTTTGTGACGTATGCAAGACTTCTCCAATCATTTAGTCTGCTTAAACCCCGCTCCTTTCTTACAATCAGCTGTAAGCCCGCGTTCATTTCTGAGCCACGCCCACAGCTCAACAGCCAATCAACAACCGATGCACAGAACCAACTCCCGCCCTACACTTATTTTCTTTAATAATCCGTTTCACATGTATGTCACTATGCGGATGAAAACATGTCTCTACTTCTGTTACATTGCGACTTAAACGCAAGGTTTTTTTAATGCCCATTTATTCTGTTATATTGAATGATAAATTTTTCATGTAAACTAACTTAAATACTGTCCAAACAATTAGCAGCCATTAGAAGCAGATGCTAATTTTGCAAAACTGCATCTCAAAACTTACATTTACATTTAGTCATTTAACAGACGCTTTTATCCAAAGCAACTTACAAATGAGGACAGTAGAAGCAATAAAAACAAACAAAAGAGCAACAATATGTAAGTGCAAATGACAAGTCTCAGTTAGCCTAACACAGTACACGTAGCAAGGTATTTATATATATATATATATATATATTTAAAACTCAATCTGTCTATTTCTAAATGTATTTTATAACTCATCTTGTAAATGATTAATCCATGCATGTTTAATTCTTTGACCTCATAATGTTTAATCAAAATGTCATAACTGGATTTTCCAGTAAACATCAGACTTCTCTTTTGTGACGTATGCAAGACTTCTCCAATCATTTAGTCTGCTTAAACCCCGCTCCTTTCTTACAATCAGCTGTAAGCCCGCGTTCATTTCTGAGCCACGCCCACAGCTCAACAGCCAATCAACAACCGATGCACAGAACCAACTCCCGCCCTACACTTATTTTCTTTAATAATCCGTTTCACATGTATGTCACTATGCGGATGAAAACATGTCTCTACTTCTGTTACATTGCGACTTAAACGCAAGGTTTTTTTAATGCCCATTTATTCTGTTATATTGAATGATAAATTTTTCATGTAAACTAACTTAAATACTGTCCAAACAATTAGCAGCCATTAGAAGCAGATGCTAATTTTGCAAAACTGCATCTCAAAACTTACATTTACATTTAGTCATTTAACAGACGCTTTTATCCAAAGCAACTTACAAATGAGGACAGTAGAAGCAATAAAAACAAACAAAAGAGC